AACTGGATAGTGACAGCATGTTTCATGCTTAAATAGATTCGTCAGGCCATGTGTCTGATGACTTCACTTCAGCAAGAAGCAGACATTCACCATCTAGTATTGAAACCTATGTCCACACTATTTTATATATAAGCTCTAGACATGGACCATAGGTTATTCAACCAACTGTTAAACACAGAGGAAATTATCTCTCTCTCTCTCTCTCTATATATATATATATATATATAGAGAGAGAGAGAGAGAGAGAGAGCGAAAACTTAGAAATTAACAACTGACCTGTACTTTACACCGCTGGCGTTTTAGATTCAGAGTGGAGAAAATGGAGAAAGCAAATGAATTCGCGTGTGTTTCCTGAATTAGTTTCACTTTTCTTTCGTCACACACCAGTTTAATCTCAATGTGTGCCTCAATTGCTTCAGGGTAGATTTTCTGAATTTAAATATAGGATATCGAAGATTACCTTTTTTTCATGGAGTCATATTTAATTAAACTAAAATTTAGTTATGTTATGTTCGTTTCCAACTTACAGAGAATAAAATAAAATACGCTACTCTAGCTAGTGTTTGACTCCCACCCACCGCTCTTAATTTTCAACTCTGAGTAAGTTAATTTAGTTTTGTCAGGCAGAAAATTAAATGATGGTGATTTTTTTTTCACTTACTATAGAGTCAGATACGAACAATTACTAAATTGCTATTTTAACTGGGCAGACTAACGATGGGAAAATACGAAACGATTTCAGCCTCTAAGCAAACTCAGTTCAAATGGGTTTTAAAAAACTTGAACGCAGATGTTGAATAGTCGGATATATAAAAAAAAAGTATTCAGTAATATGTAGAATCAAGATATACGTACTCCAAATAATTAGTAACTTTAATTCTAATTTGTAAATAGTCATTTCAAAAATCTAACGTTAATCTCTATGCCTGACCATGTGTGGCCTCTGGGCAGCGGCTGACAAATTCGTTTCACTATTCGTTAATGTACACCCTCACTGAGTGCCCTTTAATTGCATCTCTATGCCAGTCTAAGTTTAATGTGTAAATCTATGACCATGAACCGGAATTTTCATCATCTGATTTCACCAAAGCCACTTCTCTGGGAAAACTTGTTTTCTGACAAAGAAATAAATTAGAAAAAAAAAATAAGCTAGAAAAGAGTAGGTTTTGTAAAAGAGCGAATAAATTTCCAATGGAAGAAAGAAATTCGAAAATGATATTTGAATAATATGTTGGAATATTAGATTGATCAATTAAAAATAGAATTATTCATTAATAGACGTGACACTTCCTCATAATTCTTTGTGGAAGTTTGACAAAATGGAAAAATGTCCACCAATTCCTCCAGTCTTCGCAACACACTTAATTTCTTAAGATATAATTTTAATTTTTCTTTTCATCATCTTTTCGTTGGGTTTCATGTGGCTGATCGTTCGGCATCTTGATTTAAATTTTCATTTCTCATCTAAGTCTGAAGAAATCTCGAAGATCAATTTCAAATTTGGCTCGATATATAAGAACAACAAAAGAAATTTTATCCTTTGTATTAGTTGTTCGTAAATATAAAGACTATTTTTATATGGTTTGATGAGTAATACACCGGCATTCGTATCTCTTTATTTTACAATTCACAAACTTAAAAGAATCTTTGGTAAATTTGCTAAATTAAATCTTGAAAAGAAAATTACATTAATATAAATAATCTCAAATCCTACATACAGCATTCGAGTTTTCATTCACTAAAACAAATTCCCAACGTTACATGGAAAGACTATTTTAAAATTATCTGTTCAGTACGATACCAATTTCAAAATATCACATTTCATAATGTCTTATTACGTAAGCGTGGTATATTATTTTCTGTGATTATTAAATCATTTTTCTTTGGAGTTTCTTAACTGAAAAGATGACAATGCAAACTTTTGCTAATATATTCTTATTGAAATAGTCTACGTGAATTGAATAGATAGAGATTAATTTTTCAATATTTTAATGATAAGAGATCGATTTTTATCAATTAATTTATTTCGGAAGGGGGTACATTTAAGTGGTTAAAATACATTTTAAAATGAAACTCTTTCAAATATTTGATATATATGGAAAAGCTAAATCTCCGAAAACCTCTAATGATTTCTGTTTATTCTTCAGGGATAAAACGGTCACATATGGCGGATAAAAATGATGGCTTTGACACTGACAAATAACCTTCACCTGCGAATCAGCAGAATTCATTTTCTATTTTCTTTTTTCATATTTCAATAATTTATAAGTTCAAGTTTTCCATCATTTCTATTTTTCTTGAGTGATATGTTTTATAAGCGTTGTCAATTTTAGTACACAGATCTTTTTAAATAATAGAAAAAATATTCTCTCATAAGAAATTGTTAAAAATTCATTTTTTTATTTGTTTCAAATAATCCTTTGCGGGTCTGTTACGCACCAAATCTAAAATAATTAATTTCTTTTCAGTCAGAAAAAAATCTATTAAATACGATGTTTCAAATGTATTAGGTTTTTTTTAATGAGTTATTTTGTATTTATTCCAATTTATTTATTATTTTGAAAAACAGTTTCCAAAAACTTAATGTTTAAAAAGAGAAACAGATATGACTATTGTAACTGCTATCAGTATCTCCCTCAGGGCTGCAACGTATATAGAAATATTTTCTTTACGCTGCTACATTGTTTGTGACTTGTAGTGATACAAAGTCTCCTTCAGCAACACTTCAAAGAAAATTCAGATGATTGTTAGGAACAAAAGATTTCACAAAATTATTTGTTAACAGTAATTCTTATTTGTTTCTCTTCTACGTTGTGGCTCTGTGTTGCAGATGGGACACGATAAATTCTGAGCACGACTGGCTTAGAACACACAATAAGTCAAGTGGCCCTAAATTATTTTATTTTCGCATGAAGTGTATTCTGTTTTATGACGAGTAGTATCATCTGGAGTAATGGATAGAGGCTCCGATTGAGGAAACTGAGAGCCGAGTTCGAATTCCAGTCAAATCCATCACATTCACTTACGCTAATACCTTTAGGAAAGGTATAAATCCTCTTCTCCCCCAGCTATGGGTAAATAGCAGAATAGACTGGGTTCTATAGCGTTAGATAGCAACTTGTCTACCTCAGAAAGAAATGGCAACCTACTGCGGGAAAAAATCTGCCTCATCAGTCATGTATCGAAAGATACATGATCGCCTAAGCGTGTATCATGCATGGAACATAACTGACTGAGTATAATCTGCGAAGAAGGATCTTCAAATCCGCTGCCCACTTGATCAAAAGGGAAATAAATAATAGATAAATAAATGAAAACTTTTGAGAACAAAAACAAATTAGTCGGAAATTCAATGTTTCCTTTCCCACGCTTATAGAAGAGATTGCATAAATACCTCCCACATATCTACCAAAACCACGTTCCACATAATGGTAAAACATTAGCTAGCTAAAGATACCAAATATCTTACCATTATGTGGGAGATATTTCTGGAAGGTATGTGAGAGCTATCTCTGCTGCACTTTGTATAAACAGTTACTGTTAGAATTGATGGTAGTTCGGAACCGCCTGTTGGAAGATACATGTTATCCATCGAGGTAGTTTCAATTCAGATCTTTGACTGGGTGCAAGTTGCACGTCAGTGAGTTCCGATGCCGCCCGTTAGTTGTCAGCTAGCGTCATGGTATAGAGATGGACAGAAGGGTGATAGGAGAGTCAGAGTTCACGCTGATTGAAAGCAAATGCTGATACGTAGTCTGACATATCAAAAGTAGCAGTTGTCTAAAGTGTCACCTCCCTAACCCACCAGACTGTGTAAATGAATCCTTGAATAAACAAGCAAGTGCAGTGGAAACACGACTCAAATTTTCATTTCTCGCCATGGCGTTAATTTCACCTTTCGTTTCTCTTATAAACGTTGTGGACATTTCCTCGTTTTGCGCACATTGGCACGAATGCGAAAAGACAAATTATCATTTGTCCGGTCGGTGAACGTTGAGAGAGGGTCCCATTCTATACTTACGCAGAAACGACATCGTAGGTCTTTAGTCCTATTAATAACTATTGATTGATTGATTTGTATAACGGCATATCAACTCCTTATGGGTCGTTTCATGCTGATGTTTAATTTTCTTCGGAGCTTTGAAGTAAGAAAAATTTTATTCTGCTTTCACAATTGTGAATACATGGTAGAAGATACTCAGCTTTTATGTGGACATAACTACTAGAGGCGGTTATATATGTTTTATGTCGTAGTTTTGTTGAAGTTATATTTTGGAATACAGTTTGATTCCTTTCAGAAATTGTAGAATATTATCTGGATTAATGTCATGAAAGTTCTTTCATGTTGATTGTTTAATTGAATTTTTTAGCAGCATGTCAACCTCTGTGAGTTATTTAATGCTGAAATGTAAATATTTTGAACACAATTTTATGGCTTCACCTAAATATATTTTGAACACAATATTATAGCTTCAACAACAGATAAAATGTATTGTAATTTTGCTATAAAATGTATTGTTGATAATTCTATAAAATTTATTGCCTTAAATAATGTATTGTTGATAATTCTATAAAATTTATTGCCTTAAATAATGTATTGTTGATAATTCTATAAAATTTCTCTCTTTAAAATTGTGTTTTTGGTAATTCTACTATAAATATGTGTTTTTAGTACTTTTTACATAAAAAATGTATTGCTGGTATTTTTACTATAAAATGCATTGTTATAGTTTCATAGTATTTTGTTTTTTTGGTTCACTATTTGCCCATAACTGGAAGCCGAACAGGTACAACCACCAGGGCTCAGCAATTAACAGGTTTTAAGGTGGTTCCACGCACTTCAAAACCTCAAAGGCCTTGCTGTCGGATGTAGTTTATCGTCATACACAGGACTTACTGGAAATCATTCGTCATCTCTGCTTTAAAAATTAAAAAAAAAACTTATGTTTTGCAAACATTTGGGATACATTGTATTTTAAAATATGCACGTCTACATATAGACACATGCGCGTATAATTCTTTTCTTTCTTTCCGTTTACAGTCAACAGATGACTTCATCAAAGAATATTACCGCAATAACGGAACGTCACCGATCAGTCCTCATGCTACGAACACGTATGATGCCGTGTGGACAATTGCTCTGACCTTGAAAAGTGTGGTGGAGAAAGGAATTAAATACGGATCCAGTTTACGTGATTACCGTTTGGAACACTTCGAGTATGAGACAGGATCGACTATGAGCCAACACTTCCTGAAGATCATTGAAGAACTCGAGTTTGTGGGCGTCTCGGTGAATATATTCCCCTTTTCTTACACTTAATTATTGATTGTACTAACCAGGATTTGCTTACAACTTTTTAATCATTTTGTCAACTTTTTTATTTAGTTATTTTCTCTTTCACTCATACTCCTTTTTTCTTCTGACTATATTTCTGGGGTGAGGCATTGTAACTATTTACCTCATTCGGATTGTTTACCTCATCGTTATTGCCATATACATGACGTTTCAGCCGTTGTGCGTACCAGCCTTTATGTTTTGTTTTTCTTTTTTCGTTATTTCTTTTTTCTTTCTTTCCTATTTTTTTCAAGTCTTCCGTTATTTTCTTTTCTACCGTTAAATTATTAGAATATTAAATTTTCTTGAAAGTCATCGTTTCTTTTCTTTTTTGGTTGTCCATTTTTATTCTTTTTAACATTTTTCCATGTTTCAACGTCATCTTCCTGACACATAATTTTTGTTCTTTTCGTTTCCCTTTTCTTCTATTTTTTTTTTTTTTTTTTAGTTTTCTTAATTTTACATTTTTTTTTCTTTTATCTTTTCTTTCTTTTTTGCCTTTCCTCGTACAACTTTGGAGAACAGGCCGACATAATTTTAACTTTTTTCCACTATTTTTCATTGTACTCAGGAAACTTAATAGAAACCACCTTTATTTTTCGCCTTCTTTTATCTCTTCCGCTCTTTTTTTCTTTCGCCTAGTCAATCTTCTTATTCCTGTATATTTCAAAGTGTTTATATATTCATATAGGAAGAGGGGTGAAAAGATCTCAAATCGAGCCACTTACCAAATTTTAACCAAATGATCAGACATAGATCATTCTCTGAAAAGAATTCTTGTTTGATTCGAAGATTTTTCAGTACCCTCTTCGCATCTACCTTTACCGGTGTGTTTTTATTCTTTGGCTCTCTCAGGAATGTGTACATACACGTGCCTCTTTTAATAAATATGCATGTGCCTGGATACATAGACAACTTAAAAAAATCCTTGGAGATAAAAAAAAATATCTTTGAACTAAGACGACTTTAGTATAAGGTTACACGAGTGAGGCAAAATTTCTTTATTTCAATTGTGTGTGTGTGAGAGAGGGAGAGAGAGAGAGTTCTGAAAAATACTTCGCACAATTCATTTATTAATTCTGACCAAACATCAGGGTTTTTTGGGGTTTTTTTTTCTTTTCTGCGGAGATTGAGGGGACTTTTTGCTCAAGTCAAAAACTTTTCAGCACCCCTTCATATGTATGCGGCATTAATACTTGCAGAAAGTATAACTAAAACGTTGTATAAAAGTTGTATAAAAGTTCAAATATTCGCGCTACCCATATTTGTTGATAAATCAAGCGACGGCATTACTCAAAATCGAGTTACGGGCATCATTTTATATATATATATATATATATATATATATATATATATATATATATGCTTTTTAGTTTCAGGTCGTCGATTCTAAGGTAATTTGATTTATTGTCTCTCTCATTCTCAAAAATATCAACGCATTTTCATTACATTAGGCCTTGTCTGTCATTCCGGCTTAAATAAGCCGAACCCAATACACGTCGACGAAACGCGTCGTTTATAAGCTTTTCCACTTTGTCTCGTCATTCACATAATATATATATATGTAAAGAGAGGACGGGAGAAGAGGCACTTTTTTTCGTTCAATTATTATAGGAAAATTGCCGTCAGAATTTCCAATTTTCATCTGGGATTTCGGCTCATTTTCATCGTCTCTTATTTATTCAACAATTTACGTTAGCTTTTCCTTTGCTTTAGTCACTTCAGATGTTACTTCCTATTCGCGATTCAACATGAGACTTCAGGAAATTGATTCTTCTTTCCCAAAAGTTTATCTCCCTTTCGATGGCTGACGGCAATCAAATTCTGTTTTTAAAGTTTGAATTTTTTTTTTCCTGCCATTAATTTCATGTGACTTGGTAAACGATTGACATGAACGCGTGGTCTTCTCTTGAACGATGTTCCAATGTATGCGTACGTTTAAAATATAAGTTCTGAATTTAAGCAGAAATCAAAAGATATTTTTCTGACTTTATTTACTAAAGGTTTTTATATCACAAGTTCATTTTTTTTTCAAATGTTTTTACGTAGTTTACTTGACTCGTTTATTCATCATCTTTCTTGCTTTCTTGTTCTCTCTACTCTGTTAGATTTTCTTTCTCGTATTTCTTCATACAAATTGTTGTTCATAGATTTAATGCGCACAACCCTATTTTTATTACCAAAATTGTCTCTCGATATTCATATAGATCTATCTCTATGTCTGTTTGCTTATCGCAACCAGTTCATATATTTTTATTTAACAATACCACTCTACATGTATTTATCTCTTTTCAGCCCCCTCCCTCTCTCTATATATATATATATATATATATATATATATATATATATATATATATATATATATATAAACTCTTGAAAAATGTTAGAATGATTAAATCTTCCTTGCAGGCAGCCGTTTTTAATGAAAGATGCTTGGAAGAAATGTTGCTGCCCAAATTTACATATGTATAAATAAATAAATATATATATATATATATATATATATATATATATATATATATGGAGTTTGTCTGCCTGTTTAAGCCCATTCATGTGTTTTGTTTGTATCTACCAACCCATCTATCTCGGTTCATACAGATTTTTATAGAAATATTACTAAGAGTAGCTGAGTTGTAACGCTGGGCCGAAAATATGGAGCACTCAGCAAAGATCGTACTCACTAGCCAGTCGTAATTACACCGCGTCGAAGTACCTCTAAATTTTTGTATAGGTCTAAATGAATATAAATATATTTAAATCAAAACTCTAAAATGTCTTTTTTTCTCACAGTATCCATATCTCTCTCTCTCTCTCTCTCTCTGCCTACCTTACTCTCTCTCTCTCTCTATCTCCCTCTCTCTGCCTACCTTACTCTCTCTCTTTCTCTCTCTCTCTATCTCCCTCCCTCTCCCTCTCTCCTTCTCTTTGTCTACCTCTCTCTCTCTCTCTGTTTCTACCGCACTGTAATTCACTCTCTGCCGCAGACTCTCACTCTGTCCTCATTCCATCTACGTGGCAATCTAATCATATTTCTATTCATTGAGAGTTCCTTATTTTGTCCTTAATGTATTCATCTTATGTAAGTTTCTAATTCTACCATACATATGCATATTTTACTTCTCTCTTTTCTCTCTTATCTATATATCACTGGCTAACTACATCAACGATGGAGTAATGGATAGTGGCTTGGATTGAGGAATCGGAGAGCCGAGTTCGAATCCATTACATTCACTTACGTGCTAATACCCTTGGGAAAGGTGTGAATCCTCTTCTTCTCCCGCCAGCTATGGGTAAATAGCAGGACAGACTGGGTTCTATAGCATTGGATGGCAACTGATCTAGGAAAAAGAAAACTCTGACTTCAAAACCTGCGGAGGGTCGTTTGGGGGACCTTGTGGCATTCGGTGCACCAGGTCTCTGTAATCGGCCCTTCAAAAAGTGTGGATGGTCCTGCATGAAACCTTCACCACTATAATCAAATCTCATGTGCTATACATGCGGGTTGGGGACCGCTTGTGAATTCCAAATTCCCATGAAACTCCAATATTGGAGCCGGCTCAACCCACCCCGGGTGAATGCCGTTACAAGAACAAGGAGAGAGAGAACGACATCATTATAATATGTATCACTTGACTACAGTATTTATAACAATTTTAAGAATATCATTCGTTTTCCGCCTATCTTGCTATCTATCATGTTTATATTTGCATAAATACAAGTTTTTTTTATTTGAACACAGTCTCTCTCTCTCTCTCTCTCTCTCTCTCTCTCTCTCTCGATATGTTAAAACACACGGTTTCACTACACAGTCTCTCCACCTTGGGCCACGTGTTAACGCGGTCCCTCTATCTTGGATCACGTGGTAACACAGTCTTTCTATCAAGGAACTGAAGTATTTGTGTATTTGGAATTTTAAACTTTAGTATTTTATTTTACGTAATTTCTAAGAGGGATGTTCACTTTGGAAATAAGTTTCTTTTGAAGCAAGCACTACTAATCTTGTTGTATGAATTTTAATTAGCACTCGAAGCAGCTGAATCTGAAGAAAAACATTAATTTAGTTCCTGGTGTTTTCAGAAATTACATCCCGGTGATGAGAATAGTTAAAATTAGCTTTGGGGAAAAATTCACAAATGTCATCCACGATAATCATTTCTGAAAATTTATAGAACATAGCCCTATCACAAGAGATCGAGTTGTTCTAGCAAACCTTACAATATTCTCCAATGGTTTTCTCATCAGTTGGTTGCCTGAGGAAAGGCAAAAGATTTGAATTAGTGGATTCTCCTCGAATTAAGAGAAAATGAGAAAGTGGTTCGTTTTGAGATGCGCTCGTTTCCAGTTACTGGCAACAATAACAACACATTTCTTGTCATTACCCGTGATGAAAAATGTACCCTTTAAACGTAGCTATAAATCCAAAGAATGATTAACTCGATAAAATTACTTATTTTAATTCTCATGTCTAAATCTAACGTTTCGTGTGGTACAACTAAATGCAAAATATATCAAGTGACATTCTGCACTACATTTAGCTTAAATTTTGATCAGCATTGTTCATCCTTTTTTTTTTTTTTTTTTTACCAGGGTCCAGTGTCTTTCAATGGTCCGGATCGACAGGGCCTGGCCGTAATTCAGCAATACCAAGGTTAGTATTTGCATTAATCTTTTTACTCTTATATGTTTCTTTTAGTAAATAAGGTATTTCTTCACGTCTCTTACCACTACGTCAGTATATCTTTTACGGCAAGTAGTTGATCGTGTTTCAGGTTATTTCTTTAATTTAATTCAATCTTCCTTATCAAATCGAATCACGAAAACCATCTTGAACGGCCAATCTTCTAAATCTTTCTGCATTAATGCGGATAAAGAGGTTCTATCGTTGGACCTACTTTCTTCCTTATTTTCATCAAAGATTTTCCAGGTCTTTCCGGTAAGAAAGTAGTAGTCTTAGGAAAAATCATAATTGGTCATACCAACATCACACATTTATTCCTTATAAAAGATGACTATCCACCTAAATACATAGTATGCCAGGAGACATACACAGTAAAACATTTTATGATGGACTGTGCTAAATTTGTCTATCTGTAAACGCCTCTATAAGGTGAATAACTTTACGGAACTTTTCAAAAATGTTAATGTAAAAACCTTTTTGACCTACTTGAAGAAAACGAAATTATACATCAAATTTTAACCTCGACAATTTCACCTAAAGACGAACTAGACAACCAGTTCTCAAATATACTTCATGAATTAGAAAACTTAAAAGCTCCTAAATATTATTAAATAAAAATCCGATTTTCAACATTAAATGACCCACGAGGGCTGATATGCTGGTAAAACTACCAAACCAAACCAAATCAAAGACCTCGACTGGGTAATGCAATTTACAGATCAGGAACACTAAAATGAAGCCGGTGCAGAAATTTAAATATCCGGGAAGTGTTCTAACAGAGGAAAAAAAATCGCGACACTGAGATCCGAAGACGTATTGGGATGACCAGAGATGTATTCCAAGTGGAGTATTACGAGACAGGAAAATTTTCGTTGGAAACAAAGAAAAGTGTACTGAACTGCTACATGATATCTGTCCTCCTGTATGGCAGCGAATGCTGGAAAATCTCAAAGATGAAGTGTAGACTCGAAACAACAGAAGTGTGGTTCTACAGAAGGATGCTGAGCATACCATGGACCTAACATGTGAGCAACGACGAGGTTTTAGAGAATATGGAAAGAAAGAGCAAACTTATACTTAATGTCGGAAAGATGTAGCTGAAATTTTTGGGACACGTAATGAGAAAGGAGAGCTTAGAAAACCTGATACTCACAAGGCAGATAAAGGGAAAGAGAAACAGGGGAAATGCAATGCGTGACATAAGGGGCTTGAGCAAGTGGATGACGGAACAGGGTCTGGGAGAAATAAGAAAAAGAGCTACAAGGGAGAGGAGGAGGTGGAGAGCCATGATCGCCTACGTCATGAAGGGACACGGCACATAAAAGAAGATCTACGCTGATGATTCGACTATCTAATCCCATCCTAAGTCTGATAGTTTCAATAAAATCAATTTTTCAGCTACTCTCGAAAATGGCCTTCAAGTTGTTCTTAACTGGGGCGAGAAATCCAAAACAAAAACTGCCCTCTTTTAATCATCTCTTAGGAATCTCTACATTTTCTACTAGCGTGAAGTGGAACGATTATAATTAATCATTTGCTAAGAATATAGATTCTTCACAAATCCAAAGAAGAATCTGCAATTTTATCGGTTCTGACATGGAATTTAAGCTAGTCATTTTCCGCCGTCGTAATGTAAATTCCACATGCCTTTTCTATAAATATTTTCATAGCAGTTGTTTTGATGAGCTCTCTTCTTTAGTACTGCGGCTTTACGAACTTAAGCGCAGTACTACACTGTCGTTCAAATGTTTTGGGACAACTACATAAAATTAGTATACACCTTTTTTATCTTATTAAGAAGTTAATGTTGTTTCGCAGTATTCTCTAGTAGTATCTGTGGACCTTGAAGATTGGAAAATAAGGTGTTGCGTTTTCCTAAGTACCGCGTAGTAAAAGACACGTCGCTTTAATCAGCAAAACTATTGGGTCAATGAAAGATCTGAGATGATGAAGTGATGATAAAATTCGGATTTGTAAGTAGGAATTGTTCCATCTTATTAACATGAGTGTAAGCTGCCTTTGCTTTATTTTTATTTTATTTTTCACTAAATCTAGGACTGAAAAATTCTTTATGAAGCAAAGATGGAGGTTGTGACTTTGAAAGAGAAGATAACTCAACGAGATATGTACAAGCAGCTGGGAATTTCTAGAAAGTGTTCAACCCACCCAAAAGATGGGTGCTATTACTGGAAATGTTTTAAGTGCAAAAAAAACAAAAACGGAAGAGCACAAAGAATTAGATGAGAGATGAATAATCATTGTTAATCTCGGTCGTTAATCCAAAATTAACAGCTAGACAAGCGAGGAGTAAATGCAGCCTTAAGTGTTTGGAGACGACTCGAATACTTCAGTCAGATTAAAATACGGTGGAGTAATGGATAGCGGCTCGGATTGAGGAATCGGAGCCGAGTTCGAATTCCAGTCAAATCGGTTACATTCGCTTACGTGCTAATACTCTTGAGAAGGGAGTGAATCCTCTTCTTCCCCTAGCTATGGTTAAATAATCAGGACAGACCGGATTCTCTAGCCTTGGATGGCAACTGGTCTACGGTAGAAAGAAATGGCAATCTACTGCGGGGGAAAATGCCATGCATGATACACGCCTAAGCGTGTATCATTCATAAAAGGTGAAAAATTTCAAAGATGGATAAGCTTTATATTTTGAGTTCGTACCAATAAGGGGAATCTTTGTCTAATTCCAAAGTTGGTGTCCTAAAGCCCGAGAGAGCCTTTAATATTAGTTCCAGTTTAAAATGTTGTCTCATTGCTTGAAATACAGATTCACATTGTTCAGAAAACAGACCGAGTGAAGAATGTGAAGGTAGATGACTCCAGAATACTGTTCATCAGGCAATACCTAAAAAAAAAGTCTATCAGTTGCATGATAAGCTTTTATCAGTTCTATTTATAAAGTCAGTAATCGAGAAGTTAAAAAGCAATAAAAAAAGATTCACATTGGTCGAAAAGTGTTATAACTCATCGGTGATCAAAGAGAACGTTTTCTGGACCAATACTGGGTATTAACAAACGTAAAGATAAGCAGCATTTTTCTATCTCTCTAAGAATTTAATGAACGTTTTCTTGCTCTTCAGCTAAAATTTAAGCTGCAACTCTGTTGATTTCGTTGTTTTCTTATATTGGATAATTTTTTCTATGTTGTAATTAGTATTGTACTCTCTCCCCACCTCACACACTCACACACAAACTAATTGCTTAGTGTGGTATTCTCAAGTTTCAAAGAGCCACCATAGAATTTCAGTGAATGCTATAAATTCGTACCGATATTTCGCCGTCTGGTTCGTTTGCTTTCTATCGATGTCTGTTCTCATATTTCTGTCTTTCTCTTTTGTTCTTCATTCTCTCTAAAAGCAGCTTCTTCTGAAATTAATTCCCAATTCCATTCACAGAAAACCAATTCCGCTTCTCCCCATCCTTTCTGCACATGTCGGTTACCAGGTCTGTGTCCTTAAAATCCTTTGTTGCAGTGTCAACCAGTTCAAAAGACCTACCGGCCGACACTTTCGCCTCACTGTCGTCTGTAATTCGTTGTAACATCTTCCAACACAACAGGCACAATCTGCAATTCCTAACATCATTGCCTATTTATATATGTAATTTCTGACTCTCAGTACACGGTGAAAAGTTATAAAGTTCTCTCCGAACCATTGTGTCGTGTGTAGTCGTTTACCCTTTGAATAGATTTCTTTGTCAATCGATGTTTGGGTTGGGGATTACGCTTTTCATTTTGGTCTGATGCAGGAAATCTGCAGCGAACGTTTGTTTGATGCAATCCCTTTGTTTTATTGCAAAGAGATCGATTTGCTTTTTTTTTTTTTTTTTTACGGGTTATCAACTTTTGCGGGTCATTTAAAGCTATAAAATATTTTTAGATTGTAAGAATTTGGGGGGTGGATAATAAACATTTTCTCTGATACAAGTTCTTCTAATTAACCTATAGCTGGGGGATGAAGAGGTGGATTCATTCTTTTCCCAAGGATATTTGAGCGTGTGAATATAAAGAACACGATTGGAATTGTAACTCGGCTCCCAGATTTCCAATTTCGTGTCGTAATCCATTACAACACCCACATATCCAAGTTTACAGCACCTGGAATTCCCAAGCGGTCACCCATCTAGGTACTGACCAGACTCGACGTTGCTTAACTTCGGTGATCGTACTAGAATCAGGGTTTGAATGTGATATAGCCGTAAGCCTATATTTAATAGACGTTCGGTTTATGAGTTTAACGCGTTTGAAGCAACTTTCACTTTTTTTTTTCTCTTTTGCATTTCGTCTTTTATCTGTAAAATCAAATATAATATTGATTTATTAACATTTATTATTTTTTACGCCCGAAATTTTTTGCTTCGTGGGAACAAGAAAAATATTCGATACTTCAATGCTTTTTATACAAACCTTCATTATTTTTGTCGCTGTTCTTTGCCCGATTGGTGATGTAATGCAACAGTAAAAATATGTACAAAGATATGCGGATAATAATGCAGATCACATATTGAACAGCAAAAAAAAAATGACAAATCCTCGTACGATGTGTTTTTGTTTATTTTGTTTGTGTCAGTCCGTTATGTGCCATGCGTGATACATGCTGAGGCGATCATGTATCTTTCGATACATGACTGACGAGGCAGATTTTTTTTTCTCCGCAGTAGGTTGCCATTTCTTTCTGCGGTACACCAGTTGCCATCCAAGGCTATAAAACCCGGTCTGTCCTGCTGGCGGGGGGGGAGAAGAGGATTCATACCTTTCTCAAGAGTATTAGCACGTAAGTGAATGTAATGGATTCGACTGGAATTCTAACTCGACTCTCCGATTATTCAATCCGAGCCGCTATCCATTACTCCACCGTGCCTCTCTTTTGTATCTTAGTATTTAAATTAACCCGTGACAGATAAGGCCTTAATGTTATGGATTCGAGAACAGGAGTGGCACAATTTGCATTAAACTGAAGGCCGATTCCAGGCGGAGGTGGGCTTTTCCCCTCGCGCAAAATTCTCACTTGATACTTCTTTTATTGTTAAGACATTGATTTGAAACTCCTTAAAATCACTGCCTTGAGAAGAAGGTTGTTGAGTGATTCTAAAGGTAATTGTGAAACTAGTGAATACTCCTTCGGTTTCATAATTTCTGACAAAAGGATATTTTTACTGATGTGAATATTTTTTGTAATTTTAGGAAATTATACATAATCTTCCTTTATATATTCAAATACAGGTAATGTATGAATTCAGTACATAATTATTTCAAATTACATTCAACATGAATTCTTTGTATTGTAAATGAAGCTATAGCATTGAAGCATTTGGTTTATTTGTCAAACCGTCGCGTTTTTGTTGTGTTTTTTGGTGGGAGGCGGGGGTTTACTGCTGTTCTATGCAAATAAAAAAAAGTAAACCCGAAGACCGAAAATAAAAGAATAATCCTGCAAAGGTGCAACACCTTAAATTTGGCATATAAAAATAACCCTTCCTCTACTTTTCACAACTCCAAAATAACCTGTCTGGAATAGGGTTAACAGAATTTCATACGCCCCCCAAAAATGGAAATTAAAGTAAATTTATACTTAAAATCAGAAAGAGACAGTTGACATTTTTAGAACCCATACTGTGTAAAGTGGGCTTAGAAAATGTGATAGTCACAAGACAGACCGAGGAAAACAAAGCATAACCTACTTAGTTAGCATGAATAAATGGATGTCGGAACAAGGTTTAGGAGAGATACCAAAAAGACAAAATTTATTAAGTGCTACAAAGGACAGAAAATTGTAGAGAGCCATAATCAACTACGTACTGTAGGGACACGGCACACAGAAGAATCTACGTATTTGACGACTTGCAACAAAGCTAGTTAAATAAGGGGTAGGAATAGGAGTCAGCACAAACTAACTCGTTCAAACTTGATACTGTGTTTTCCCTTAGAAACTTCGAGAACGACTTAATGTATGCTTTTCATTTTGCTGACTGTAGGTGGCTCACAATGGGGGGGTATTTCTTAAATGACACTCACAAAAATAAGAACGATATCTCGAAGCAACTCTTTATCATCCAATCAATTGCACATCTCTTCTAAGTATCTGCACCATCTTCCTTCAAGATTTAATTTCGGCATAATGGTGATTTTCTAAGCGTAGCTTAGATGTGACAGAAGACCGAAAGTATGGGGCACCCAGTGAGCATCGAACTCACTATCCAGTCGTAATTGATCTACCGAAACAAGCTTGCTAACCATTACAGCAGGTCGAAGTGCCCCAACTTCGGCATAATGTAACTAATGGTAGAGCAACTGCTACATGGAAATTGTTTTAATGCATTAGTCACGCAATTCGTTGATAGTTTATTAAACATTTGATAGTGCGTAAAAAGGTAACCTAGTATCAAAATTTTAAATATAAAATGACCCACTCAGTTGCTGTTTTTATTATGGTATTTTTTATTCATCGAATTAAAAAAGATTTTATATAGTTCAAAACTGGATTTGTGTGCTGAATGAATGTTGAAAAAAGATAACTTTAGTAATCGGGCGTTTTGAGATGTTAACACATGATATTATCTTAGTAATTGATTTCTCTTGGCCTCTGTAAGTAAGTAAATCTATTTCTTTTAGTTAATATATTTATGATCTTTCTCGTGTAGCATTGGCACAGTTTGATTTATATCTTTTCATTAATCAATTAGTTTACGACAGTTTTGCACTAAATTATACAACTTATTTGCGAAATCTAAATTTACTTTTCTCGTAGAATTGTTTTTCCTTCATATGATTGGTACTATTAATATTATATAAATAAGTTCTCGAATATTACTTTGAAGAGAGAAATAGCTTTTCTCATGAGAAAAGCAACATTCAAATTTTGACGTTTCTTTTTTCTAGACTGACATTTTCAGTTGGATTTTTTTTAGGTGCCATGTCCCTTCAGGACGTAGGCGACCATGCAACAGTAAGCAACGTTTGACTCTTTATCATCTCTATTTGTCCACATTCTGCCACCCCCTATTTATACAAACCCCTTAGGTAGGATATATCAGTATTCACCTTATTTGTGTTTATTCTTTGATGGCCATGTATAATATTCTTGCATGCTACGCTTTATGTCTTTATTGGCAGTGCAAATTTCTGCAGGAATTTTTCATTTTCTACAGGCGGCCAAATGCAAGTGGTGGCTCTCTATGAACCTGATAATGAATCCCTGAACTTTAGTTGCGACGCATGCGTACCAGTCATCTGGCAAGGTAAGAAAAAATTCTCTTCTTTGAACAAAAAAAATATTGTTAAAGCAGAAATATTTTCTTTAAAATTATCATAATCTGTTTATCATTTTTCTTTTTTTTCAAAACCTATGTTTTAGCTAAGAAATATGTAAGATTGTCTCTTGAGATTGCCAAAAGAGTTCATTTGTTTCGCTTAATTTTTTTAATTGGTATCACCCCAAGCAAGGCAGTACAGCCGCTAGCACACAAGGGGTTACAGGGTGGGGAGGAATTACTAACGAGGAGAGAAAGAAAAGAGAAGTCAGGAGGACAGTACATAGCGATTGACATTGCATTTAAATTTTTGCAGATTAAAGTTGGTTGCAAAGCATAGAGCCGTGAGGGAGTTCCACAAGCGACAAGTGCGATATAAGAAACTTATCACAGAAATTACGGCTATATCTAGCTAGCTCGACTGTAAACTGATGAGATCTCGCCCCTAGTCTAGTATTGCGCTTAAATTCATACAGTCTAGATACCATAGCGAACAATTACCATAAAAAAATTTTATAAAAAAGGCACAAAGAGGCAGCCTAACAGTAGTGAGCATTTTACAATGATTAATAAATAATAAATCCTATTTTAATTAGGTATTGAAGTCCGAAAGAATAGATGAGATACTTAGAAAGTGTTAGATTAGCTCGAATCTTTTTACATCAAAGTAAGGCAGCTTTTCTTTCTGTTATACGTACTTATATGACTTACTTTTGTGCTTATTAATGTAATTTGCATTTAAAGTTTTCAAATATAATTTGTCCCCTAAACGGCTAGTAAACAAAATAAGTACTTCGTACTATTGCTCCTTATGTAATAGTCGAACATATAGTCGCAAGGAAAAAATGTTTCTCTAACCCTACTACCTTCTATACTCAATTATTTACACCCTCCCCACTTTCCCTCCTTGTAAATAACTGGTGGCATTGCAATAGCATATTAGAATAATTTATGTTTATTTACTATTTGCAGACAAATCACATTTTATATATATATATATATATATATATATATGAAAAATTTCTCAGTTAACCTGTAGAAAAAGACTTATGTATAAAGGTAAAAGACGATAGGAAAACTGTATTATTAGCCGACGCGTTTCGCCCAGTGTTGATATTTTCAAGGCAAAAACATAATGAATTTATTGAAAACAAACTGTTAACAGCAAACAAAATATCCTTAGCAACTAGAATTTAGAAAACGCTATTGTATTCATATTAAGTACTTGACGTAATTTTCAACTGACAATATGAATACAATGGCCTTTATCTAAATTCTTCTAGTTGCTAAGGACGTTTTGTTTGCGTTTGCTGAGAAACATTTGTAGTGTCAAAACATAATTGTAATTGTGTAGCGATTTTACCATGTTTTTTTAATACAGTGTAACCCGGATATAAGAGATTTTCTCTGGTCCTAAATTAGAGTCTGTGTTAATGTATATAAAATAGACCAAACCCGGATATAAGATACTTCTTCTCCGGTCCCGAAAACTCTCTTATATCCGGGTTACACTGTATCGTAAAATAAATTATATATATTATGAAATGTACAAAGTCCGACAATTATTTTAAGACATTTATATATATATATATATATCTGATTGTGTATGCACGACTCAAGGTAAAAGTTTACAAAGTAAGAAGCACAGTTTATGCGGATATGTAGGGAAGATAATGGTTAATCCTAGACTTAAACAGGTTTAGTGGTCAAAGTAGCATCGTCTTGGGAGACAGTTCCATACTGCAGTGGTTCATGTGAAGAAGTTGCTCGAGTAGAATTTACATCTCACGAAGGGAGTACGTATGAAATGGTGGTTGGTTTACTACAATGTGCCTGGCATGTCGAGTCTTAGCTGTGGAGATTAGAACTGGTGGAACTAAGAAATGTAATTTGTTTGAGCACTTTCCATGGAAATTTGTCACCCACAAGGACGCGGAGGATATTTTGGACAA